AGAGAGAGAGAGAGAGAGAGAGAGAGAGAGAGAGAGAGAGAGAGAGAGAGATTTGGGCAGACTTTACCCTCCAGGGAGCATATGTAGCCAAAGTGTCAAATGTACAAGTGACAGAAGGTGCTGGCCCAGGAGTATGCCCAAGCTGTTTGTGCACCTGAAGAGGCTAAGATGTCAGCTTCTCCTGGAGAGAGAGGCTCCGGAGTCTGGAAGTAAGCAGTTGGAGTGTCTATTGACATCCTTAAAGCCTTATTGGTCAAGTCACCCGTGCAACTTTAAGCAGGGGTAAGGGGTGGGAAAGGAAGCAGATAAAAGGCAAGTGAAAGAAAGGAGGAGGGGCAGGCTCCAACCCAGCCAGCACAGTGCTCTCTTCCTGCCTATCCTGGGCTGCTCTCCAGGAGTCTCATGGCCAACTATGAATTTAGCCAGGTGTCTGGGGACAGACCCTGCTGCCGCCTCTCTAGGAAAGCCCAGATCTGTCTCGGAATAGGTCTCTTACTCCTGATAGCGTCGGTAGTGGTAGCTGTCATACTTCTGTGGCCGCGCGCACCTCTGGTGTGGGAAGGGAAGCCTACCACGAAGCACTTTCCTGAGATCTTCCTGGGACGGTGTCTCGTCTACACTCAGATCCTCCGGCCTGAGATGAGGTGAGTCGGCATTTGAGGCACACTCGGGGCACAGTGCATAGTTGGACACCGGGGAGGCAAGCTGTGACCCAGCTGGAGTTCGCGCGGGGGAGCGTCCAGACTGTCCCAAACAAAGAATCTTGTGTTGAGGGTCAGCTGGGAGCCGAGAGGCAGAGCTGAATAGGAGTCGGATGAGCCCTAAGTCCCCTGTGCAAGTTACCAAAACACTGCCTTCTTCACCACCTCGGAGGTGGGGGCGGGGGTTGCAGTGCCTGGGACTGGAGGGCTGATTCCTCCAAGACGCTCGCCTCCCACTGCGGGTTCTGAGCTGGGCCCTTGGGGCCATCCTTGGCCAGGTCACTCGCACAGGGCAGAATGACTCGCAGACACAGGGACTTTACACTGTCATTTGGCTTGTGGTTTCTATCTGCCACCGTCCATGCCCAGAAAGTTATGGTCACAGATAACAATTGACTAAGTAGCTTGCTGAGTATGCTGTGGGGGTGGAGGGAGTCAAAGGACAGATGTCTGCCTGAAGTTTTATTTTTCTTTATAAAACAGTATCCTGGAGTGTGTAACTCCGGCACTAAGGAGACTGGTGCAGGAGGATTGCTGTGAGTTTGTGGTTAGCCAGGGCTACTCAGCTACTTTGTAAATTCAAGTTTGGATTGCACAGGGAGACCAGCCTTAAAATAAATACACCAATTAATTAAAACACAAACCAAACAAAAAAATTAAGCCCAAACAGTATCCGGATTCTTTTTGCACCTGATCTTTAATAAAACAAAGCAAGACAGACTATAAAACTGAAATATTACCCATCAGATAAGCTGAATCAGCTTGGTGAACCTGTGCAGCCCCTTGGAACAATGCTTTCTTCAGCCCATAGAAATCAGCCCTCATATTCCCTTCCACCTACCAACTGTCCCAAAGGAAAGGAGGGCTTTTTTTGCACCCCATTTCTTAGTGTAGAACTGATTTCTGAAGTCAAACAGAAAGCACAGCAGGCTGGGAAGGCATGCTCAGAAGCCCAGTTTCACATTCTGCCTTCAAATGCACAAGTTTCCTAGATGCTCAGTGGTTTGGGTCTTGGTCTTACTTGAAAACGTTCATGTTGAAACAATCTCAGAGTCCTGATAAATATTTTGTTTACAGACTTTTAAATGATATTGGGTGCTCAATCATTCTGAATAAATTCACCATGATTAGAAAACTGGATTATGGAACTGGAATGATGTGTGCTTAGAATTAACCCGGTGGTGTGTAGACTGACAGATTGATAGCACTTGTTCAACCTGTCCACTCACATGTATGTGCAAGCATTTAGCAAGTAATTCATTATTTGTGTTTGTCAAATCATAATCAGTCTAAAGATAAGAGGATTAATTAATACAATTGCACATATTTATTTGCGTGCACATGCCCCAACACATACATGTGAAGATCATGGAATCAGGTCTGTCCCTCACAATGTAGAGTCTGGGAATCAAATTCAGGTCATTGGGTTTTAGAAGCAAGCATCCCTACTGACTGGTCCACCTCATTGACCTAATCTGTTAATATTGTAATGATCATCTTTTCAGACATCACACACCACACCACACACACACACACACACACACACACACACACACGCGTGCATGCATGCATTTTATATTTTATGTGAATAGACTAGTGATAGATACTGTTTGCCAGGCACTTAAAAAATAACCAATTGTGTAGTCCTTTAGCAACCACAACAGAGCTGAAATGTGTCTCAGTGGCAGGGATCTTGCCTAGTTTACACAGTTCCCTGGGTTCATCCCCAGCATCACAGAAAATGAATGAATGGAAGAGAATAGAATGGGACAGAAGAAAATCACATAGAGGGAGTTATGACTGGTGTATCCACTTTACAGACCAGCAATTTTGAATTAGAAAGCTTGAGTAAACTGTACATGCGGTTGTAGAGATTGAACTCCCAATGCATTAAACTAAAACTGCCTATGCGTGTTTTGTATGTAGAGTGGCTGTGAAGTTTATAGGTAATGTGTAGAGATCTTTGAAATGGGAAAGAAACAATAATTATAAGCATAATGAGTCAACAAGTTTAACTTGAGCACATTGCATTTTTATCCTCCCCTGGTTTGAGAATATGAACTCTGATCCCAGATCATTAGAGCATGAATCTTGGTTCTGTTACAGCATGACCTTGGACCAGGTCCTCAATGTATATGTGCTGTGGTGTGTTCTCTCCATGTAAAATGGAAACATTAATAACTGCAGCCGGTGCCTGGAGAAATGAAGAGAAGTAAGAGGAATAATCCTGTCATGGTAAATGCTGGAAATATTACTGCTGTGTAGTAGTGTTGCAGACACCTCTCCACAATAACGAATATAGATTAAGTTCAATCATTTGTGTATTAAATCACAGTTCCATAATTCAGTCCAATGCTGAAAGTTACATTGTTTCTAATTTATTGAGCTATCTTGTTAACCCAACACTTGGTAGTTAGGGTCTTTCTTATTGGTGCGTGAATATCTACCTCATTCTTTATGTGATAGATGTAATCATTTCTGGTTGACAAAAATTTAACTTCCAATTTGTAATTATGTATCTCTATTTTATTTGGGGAACATGTGCCACAGGATATGTACGGCAGTTGGAGAACAACTCGTATGAGTTCTGTCTCCCATTATGTAGTCCTGGAAATCAATCTCAGATGTTCAGGCTTGGCAGCCATCACCTTTATTCAGTGAGCCATCTTGCTGGCCCATTTTATAATTTTTCAATCCTATTCATTCACTCACTCATTCATTCATTCATTCATTTATTCAATAAATGTTTTTGAGCCCCTACCATGTTCCAGGCAGTGATCTGGCCACTAATGGCACAGGAGTAACAGAGTTCCAAGGCTTGTGCCACTTTCCTTCTGCAGTGAATGTCTTCAACTTATGCCTTCATGTTTACACTGGAGTGTTTTGTAGGACAGACCCAGAGATGGAATTCCTGGGTAAAATGAGATATTGTGACTATCTTAGTTAGGGTTTCTTTGCTGTGAAGAGACACTATGACCATAGTAACTCTTATAAAGGAAAAAAAATTAACTGGGGCTGGTTCAGCGGTTTAGTCCATTATCATCATGGTGGGAAGCAGGGTGTCACACAGGAAGACATGGTGCTGGAGAAGGAAAAATGGGGGGGGAAAGAGCCACCGAGAGAGAGAGAGAGAGAGAGAGAGAGAGAGAGAGAGAGAGAGAGAGAGAGAGTTAGCCTGTCTTGAGGTTCTGAAACTTCAAGGCCCACCCACAGTGACACTCCCTCCAACAAGATCACAGCTACTCCAACAAGACCACATCTCCTAATAGTGCCACACCTTATAAGTCTATGGGGGTCTTTTTCATTCAAACTACCACAGTGCATATTTTAAGTTTTAATGGCTTTTGAATTCCAGATGTTTCTAAATCCTTTCTGAAATAGTTTTATTATTTCACACTCCCATATCAGTCTACAGGGCACACTTCTCCACAATCTGACCATTATTGAATGTCTTAAACTTTGTTTAATTAGGAGAAGAATAGAAAAACTGTATCTAAGTTTCCCTGTTTGCCAGCAACCCTTATGTCTTGTCTGACTTTTGTTCATTTAAATTTTGTTCAGATCTTCACCCTTTCTTTTGAGTTACTTACATATGTGCTTGTGGGTCCTTTATATTTCTAGACAATATTTACACACACATACACACATACACAAAGTGCCACACAGCCATATCACGGACCCTGTGGACACATTTTTCTGACAACATCCTGAGTTTCATGATTATTTTGCGGTTGTTTCTTATTTTGATACCCTTATCAAGAAAACACAGAATAGCCGTTTTATTTTCAAACCTAGCTCTCAATTCTGCAATAGGAACCCAGAATTTTTCCCTCGATGTATCCGTGCTTTCCCTTGTACAACTAAAAAGGGGAAAAATAATTGGGCTTTCAGTGTTCTACTCTACGGTTTTTGAGGCAAAGCCTTGGGTTCATTAGGGGTGTCATGCGTCTTCACTTTTGCAGTTGACAGAGTTACAACATCTTCTATCACTTCTGCAAGGGGCTGCCTTGTTTCCAGCCTCCAACGGCTACTTCCTGTGTGTCCATCAAGTCAATGTGAAAGTCTTTCCTTGAGACCTTTATTCTTCTGTCTGATATCCAGTGTCAGTGCTGAGAGAATGGAAGTAGTGTGTGTATTGGGGGGGGGGTGCGGTGGAATTGGTTCATGGAATCAAGGAGGTTGGCAATCCAAAACACTTGTGGTCTAAGACAACAGGTTGGAAGCTCCAGAACTGCAGATGCTGCATCTTTAATGTGAAGGAAGTCTGGAGGATCCCCTTACCTCCTGGAACCTTACTTAGTCTTTTTTCTTAAGGCCTGATAAAATGTGACCCACTGACAATTATTGTGGGTGATGTTATTTCTACTAGGTGTATGCCTTGATGTTACTTTCTCATAATAGAACACCTTCATAGTGGCAGGCAGATATGTTTGAGCAAATATCTGTGTGTCATGTATGGCAATGACACTTTCAAAGACTCATCTCTTTACACATTTTATAAATTCAGAATCTTATTACCAGGCACCATTTTTCTATGTCTTTATAATAAACCACCATTTCCCAATTCAATGACTTACATCAAGAATCATTTAAATTCCATACTTCTGTGAGTGGACAGGGATCATCTTGGAGCCCAGCTTCACTCAATGCCATCTGGATCTGCCATCACTCAGGGCATTATTCAAGATGCCTTGCTTTCACAACTGATATCTTTACTCAGCAGAGATGCCTCTCTTTCTCCTTTTGCTGTCTTTGCATGGTCTTCTCTACACAATCTTTCCCTATTAGAACAGGGTCTCTTCAGGGTTTACATATTCTAACAGTACAGTCATCTAGGTCTTCCTAAAGCTTTAGGCTTATAACTAGCATTGCTTCACTTCCACAGGTCATCACACCAAGGCTTGAGGGTAGGAGAAAGAAACTCCACTTCTCCATGGGAGGAT